ACATACACACACTACTATGTATACAACAAGGACCTACTATATAGCAGGGAACTATATTCTATAACTTGTTACAACCTATAATAGAAAAGAATCTCAGAAAGAAATATATATAGATAGATACATACATAATCTGAATCACTTTGCTGTACACCTGAAACTAACACAACATTGTAAATCAACTATACTTCAATAAAAATTTAAAAAATAAATTGATAAAAGGTTAATTGGGAAGAAATTTGGAACGCTGTAAAATTATGATGGTTAGGTTTGTGTACAAGTGTGTATGGTTAGTTGTAGGGTACCTATTTTAGTGATACAGGAAACAGCACAGTGAGTGTGGTTTTTAAAGTTTATGTTAGAAACAGTTATTTCATGACTTCTTTGTGCCAGTACCTAGGTTAAATTTTGAAGAGAAAAGGGATGAGTAAATTATTTTTTCTACATGCCTAAAGTGTATCCGCTGTTGCTGAGTAAGAAGCATATAACAATTATTAGCAGAAGCAGTTAAATATTATGGTTTTTAGGTGAGAATGATTAATAGGGGGGAAAGGGAGAGAGTTTGGAAAAAAGAAAGTAAAATATTTTCTCTAAGTTGTGAAAGATAAGAAAGTCCTTGCCAGGGGCAAAAAACTGTGTTTGTTGAGTATTTATTTACTTTGTGTCAGGCACCATACTCAGCTATGTGTTATATCTCCCTGAATCTTCCATACTTGGTGGGCTCAGAGTTGTTAAATCAGTTACTCAAATATCACAAACCACACAGCCAAATAAGTGGGCTTATTAGAATTCTCTAAAGCCCAGCCTACTAGGGATTAGTAATCATGAGGGTTTTGAATGTAAAATAAATGCCAAACTGACTTCACCTAGTTATAATTTCAGAGTAGTCTAGGTGAAAAAAGGAAAGAATATCAGACCCTAGTACCTAAATATCTCTATGTATAGAAATAGATTAACATAAGTGTTATGTATAGAAATTGATTATTGATAGCATCATTAGTAAATCATAAATGTGCTATAAATTTTCAAATGGCTTCATTCTTTGCAAATGTGCTTTCACAGATAATACCTTAATGAAAGTATGAGTTTAGAGGAGCAGTAAGTTGGATAATAATGCTTTTCCCCTTCATCAGATTGTTCTTTGAGCCACAAAAATACTGAGTTCACATATCAAAGAATCAGTGACAGAGAGTAGATTGCTCGTTCACTTACATACACATACAATACTGTCAAATGCCTCCTCTAGCACTGCAGATCTTGCAAAGATTAAAGGACCATTGGTTTATCCAAATTATTAGCTCCTTGCCATTAACATTATATTGAGCACTTATCGTGTGCCAGGCTGTGAATCTCTTATCCCTGTTGAATGAATGAATGAATGAGTTAAAGTCTTCCTGTGTTTCGATGCTTGCTTGCTCTTTGTCTTCTCCAGTTCCTCTCTAGATCATCTTTACCATAACCCAGCCTGGACCATGGTCATTGCATTAATTAAAATTCAGTTTCTCTCTACAGAATAGTGAAACCCCAAATACTATTGGCTTAAATAAAATAAGAGTTTAGTTTTTTCTCATATAAAAGAAGTCTGAAGCCAGGCATTGAAGTGCTGGGATGGAGGCTTCATGGAATCATCAGGGACCCAGGGACCCAGGCTCTTTCAGGCTGTTGCCCTTGTTCTTGGGATCCCAAGTGACTGCTAGACTTTCATTCATTCATCAGTCTTGCTCCAGAGGGCAGGATAGAGGAAGAAAAGCAGAAGGAAAGGCCCCCTCCACTTTATGGAGCCCCCATAGAAGTAACACATAAAGCTCTTCTGTGTATCTTCTTGGCCAGAACTTAGTCTTATGACTACATTTTGCTGCAAAGGAGTCTGAGAGATGGTTTTTCACCTGGGCAGTGATGTGCCCAGTAAGACAAAAAACAGAAAAGCAAACAAAGTAAAAATCAAAACCAAAAAACCCCTCAGGTTTCTGTTGTTAAAGAAGAGGAGAATGAATATCGTGAGACAATCACTGGTCTCTGCCACAGGCATTCACTCTAACGCTGCCCAAAGATGCCTCTTTGCTTCCCTTTACGTCTTGACAAGCGATTTTGCCACTTCTCAAACCAGCTGTCATCACCATCTTGTTTACACCGATTCCTATTTCTACTCCCAGAGGAATCTAGATTAGAAAAGGAAAGAACATCAGATCCTAGTACCTAAATATCTTTATGTATATAATTTGTCATGCTGTAGTTGCCAACCCAGAGTATTAGAGAAGTTATATGACTGGTTTAAACCATCTCTGGTTTAACACAGTATTTATTGTGTCTTTAAAGGTTTCCTGTGTTATTGTTAAGCCAGAGATCTAAGGTTTAGATTCAATATGAATAAACTAGCTGGCCTGCCCTGAAAAAAAAAAAAAAAAAAAAAGAATTGGTGGGAAAAGTCCTGAATTATAGGCAGATCTGATGTCCTATGCCTGTTAGTTAACCTCAACTGAATTCCTGTTTTTAAACCTGTGGACTGTCAGCTCCTGTAGTCCGTTTCTTACAGCAGTCGTTTTAAATGTTCCCTTTGACTCCCATATCTTCACTTTGTTTCTTGTTTACTTTCTTATAAGTAAATTGACCGTACTCTGCCTCTACCTCAATTTGGTATGTCTCTGTGATAGGTCATCCTGTGCCTGAATCTCAACACCTGTTTTGTTTTTTTTTTTTGCAGTACGCGGGCCTCTCACTGCTGTGGCCTCTCCCGTTGCGGAGCACAGGCTCTGGACGTGCAGGCTCAGCGGCCATGGCTCACGGGCCCAGCCGCTCCGCGGCATGTGGGATCCTCCCGGACCGGGGCACGAACCCGTGTCCCCTGCATCGGCAGGCGGACTCTCAACCACCGCGCCACCAGGGAAGCCCCCTGTTTTTATCAATAGTATGTAAGCCGTAGGGGAGGGGAGAGTGAGTGTTAATTCCTGAACAAGACCACTTTGTGCTCTGTAAATACCTGTTAGGGCTTCCCTGGTGGCGCAGTGGTTGAGAGTCCGCCTGCCGATGCGGGGGACACGGATTCGTGCCCGGGTCTGGGAGGATCCCACATGCCGCGGAGCGGCTGGGCCCGTGAGCCATGGCCGCTGGGTCTGCGCGTCCGGAGCCTGTGCTCCGCAACGGGAGAGGCCACAACAGTGAGAGGCCCGCGTACCGCAAAAAAAACCCCAAAGAACAAAAACCTGTTAAATGAATAAATAGATCATTTCCCTTCTCTCTCTTACTTCCCTCCTTCTAATTTGAATATAATTTTTCTATATTTAAAATACCTTCTCTGGGCTTTGCTGCCTTTTCCTCCCATTTCTCACAGTTCAGTTTTTATTTTTTAAGAAGAGGCATCTCTCAGTTTTCTAACTCCTTGTTCTCTTTACTATCTTGAGGCTGCCTCCGTGAATTTTTAGACTTTTCTTTGAGATTTTCCCACCCTCGTTGGCCTTTTCTCATTGTCTAGTCTCTGTGATGTCTCCTTGGCATGCTGAGTTATCGACGGCACATTCTTGGAATTACCCGCTTAGTTCTTTTCCCTTTTTCTTCTGTATTTCCTTTGTTGACGTCCTTCTGTTCTGTAACGGTGAGCAAACATGACAATTTTTTTTTTTTTTTTTTTTTTTTTTTTTTT